GACTCCGACTAAAGTCGCCAGCGGTAGTGAGCCATACCACGGCCGGGCAACTAAAGTCTCCGACGGTACTGAAAGTGTTAATAAGGAGTAAATAGTAAATGTATAAAAACATTCTGCCCTGCCCCTTCTCCATCCCCCCCTCCCCAACCCCCAATCAAATATCACTTCTCTTCCACTTTTCAGCTAATACTATACCATCCACAGTGAAAGCTATATATCAACGACCAATATACCAATCAAATCACAGGCTTCTACACGACATCTCCTCCACAAATCATCAAAACTACATCACATCATATTATTAGGGTCCAGGCATTTGCAAAGAAAAAAAACATAACAAAACAAAACTAAACCAAACAAAACCCTGCTCCTTCCCAACAAAGTGTTCTGTCTATTATGGTGTCCAACATTACTCAGGCAAAGCAAAAACACAAAAGTTCCGTGGAACAAAAACGTAAAAGTTCAGTGGAACAAAAACAGTAAAAGTTCCATGGAACAAAAACACAAAAGTTCCGTGGAACAAAAACAAAAAGGAACAAAAACAAAAAAGTTCCGGGGAACAAAAACAAAAAAAAGTTCCGTAGAACACTTGGGCAACGAGACCGCAATCTTGCACCCGCCCGCACAGTCAAGTAGTTTGAGCCATACACGTGACGACGGGCATCGCAACTTCTAATGAATAGCTAAAATGGAGCTAGATAGATCAAGAGTGATAGAAGCAGACCTACAGGGTGCCCACAAAACATACGTGAGGTGCGCTGACAAAATGAGTTACTTCTCCGATTTTAGCCTTATGGACATTGATGCATCAACTTGATAGGTGAAGTTTGTACAATTTGTAAGTATGGAAGAATAAAAGACATGGTAGACTTGAACAAAATGGCATCAATTAGAAATCTATAAATCTGACCGTAGTGTCGATTTTCGGCCGATATCTCCATGCTTGGACAGCGAGAAGTAACTCATTTTATCAGCACAACTCGCATATATTCAAGTGGCACTGTACTTCTAAATATCGTAGAATCAAACGTGATTTTAAAAAAGTAGGCCTACACACACATACTGACATACCTACCATCACACATACCCAAGTTGCGGTGTGCAATACTCACGACTCACATGTATATATAATATTAATAAGAGAAGCACTTGTGTAATTATGTAGAACTGTAAAAAAAAACCCAAAAAAACATCATCATCATCTATGCCTTTCACCCCTGGCAGGGTATTATAGGCCACATACAAGCTCCTTCCATTTATCTCTGTCCTGGGCCATCCTTCCTAGTTCATTTCAAGTGAGCTTTTATCTCTCTCGTGAAAAAAAACGCGTCACACTAGGGAAAGTACAGTGCTTTGATTCACATCCAGACGTATATATATATATGAGAGGTATTGAGGTGAAATCAGGCGCTCGGTAAAATAATGAAATCAAAGAAATCTGCATTTTTTTGGCCGACAGAAAATTTTTTTCTTCTAATTTTCTTTTTTTTTTGGCTCAACACCTTTTATAACCTTTTAAAAAACACATTTATGTGTTGATTTCGCTGGAAAGCATTGGTTCAAGGCACAAAAATTGTAAATTCTCAGTTTCCAGGAGCTCTCAGGCTATGGACGATACCAAACTTTGACTGCCATTTTCTCACTAATTTTACCTCTGAAACCAAGCCACCCTGACCTCCTTCAATCGCAAATATTTCTACTTCTATTCAAGATAGATGGACATTTTTTCCCACCAAAAAGAAGGTAAAAGAACAGGCTTTAAGATGATACCAACAACCCCATATATGCTTTATCTAAAAATTGACAAGCGCCTGATTCCACCACACCTTGACACACATATATGTGAGAAGTGCTGACAAAATGAGTTACTTCTGGAAATCCCCAAATGGAGATATTGGCCAAAAATCGACACTAGGGTCAAATTGTTGATTTTCTATCGATGCCTCATTCTTTCAATATAACTTGCTTTTTTATTATTTCATACTTCTAAACTGTAAAAACTTCACCTATAGGCATGATGTATCTATTTCAATAAGGCTTCAATCCGAGAAGTAACTCATTTTGTCAGCACCCTTCACATATGCCACCGACGCTACCGCTAACAGCGTGTGAACTCGTAAAGTATACCGGGGCGAAATCTCACAATCTTACACATCTTCCTTGCTTCATATATATAATTTCTGCATTGGAGCAGGAAAAAATACACACACCAATCATCATATAACGACAAAATTGCGTTCAAAGAAACCTGTATGAATAACACAGTCTCTCATACCACACACACACAGTCTGCAGAAACACAAAACTTTGTTGAGAATGGGTTTTTTTCATAGTTTCAATCTTTTGTTGAGAATGTTTTTTTCTCATAGTATCAATCTTTTGTTGAGAATGGTTTTTTCTCATAGTTTCAATCTTTTGTTGAGAATGTTTTTTTCTCATAGTTTCAATCTTTTGTTGAGAATGTTTTTTCACACAACAATCTTTTGTTGAGAATGTTTTTTCAAACTACAATCTTTTGTTGAGAATGTTTTTTTCCCATTGATAGTTTCAATCTTTTGTTGAGAATGTTTTTCCCTCACTGATAGTATCAATCTTTTGTAGAAAATATGTTGTTTTTTTCACTGACAGTTTCAATCTTTTGTTGAAAATGTTTTTTTCCCACTGATAGTTTCAATCTTTTCTTGAGAACGTTTCAGACGCTCGTCAAATTTTGGGTATACAGAGTTATTGGTACCATTATAAAGCCTGTTCATTTGTCTCGCTTGGGATAAAACAAAATACCCACCTATCTTAAATACAAGTCGCGATATTTGCAATTGAAAGAAGTGGGAGTAGCGTGATTTTAGAGGTAAAATTAGACAGAAAACGGCCGCCAAAGTCTGGTGTCTTACATAGCTTGAGAGACCTTGGAAAAGGATAATTTACATTTTTGGAGCCTTTTTCCAACTTTTCCATTGAAGTCTTCACAGAAATGTGTTTCTCAATAGATTTATTTACAAAAGTTGTTGAACCAAAAAACAAAAATTTTGAAAAAAAAACTGCAAAACCAGTGGAAAAATGCTGACTTCTCTCATTTCATGATTTTGACGAGGGCCTGATTTCACCACGCTGCCTCTCATTTACAGTAGAACTACTCAATTTATGGAATGGACGATGGTCCAGATTTTGTTTTTAATAAAAAAAATTTGAGCTTAAAGTTAGCAAACTTAAAACTGCAGGGAGAAAGTGCATGATGTAAGAAGCACACATGATGGAGAACAAATAACATGCTGATATATAGATAGATAGATAGATATAGAT